GAAGCCACTATTACAGTTATCAGTTATCATGCTGGCACAATGTTTTACATTTGTTTACTCAATAACACTCAAATTAAGAATTAACACAGATGATCTTTGTGCTTTACCTTTCGGACTCAAATTCGCCCTGCTGGTCTAACTGGACCACTTGTCTCTTGAGGCGACCGCTGCGAATTTCTGGACTTGGGTTCCACAAAATCTCCTGCTGGCCTGAGCGCTTCTCGTGAATAAATACCTCGTTGTCCTGAACAAAAGTTTAGCCCTTTTAACGTTTTTTTAAAGTTAATTGACCACAACCATCCGTAAGACTCTACATAAAAATACATTGCCCTTATTTTCAATCCAACCTGGAAACTACCAAGCTAAAATCTTCCCTTTCTGGAAATCAGAACTTTTCTCAGATTATTTTGACATAAAAAAATATAAAAAAAATAGCGATTAATTTTTAGCTTCCCAAATCTTGGGATTCCTATTCCCAAAAAGTCATCTAAAAAACAAAATAACAATACTGAATTTCTTTACTTTTGCTTTTTGATGCTCAAAGCCACTGTGAGAGCAATACAGAGGAGATCCTTTACTTTATGCACCTTCCAGCTGCTCCTAAACCTATGATTATCTATTTTGTACTACAGAGTATTACTAATTACTAATTGCTAAAGAGTGGTGTGTGTGGTAGCAAATGATGCTGAAAGATGTATTCAAGCTCCTTAGACTTCATACGAGATCAAGAGGATTAAGGTTCTTACCCAGTGTCCATCAACAGTGGCCAGTACTTCCTCTCCGGCAAAGATCTTTCCATTGATCTGATTTACAGAACCAGAACCTCCAAGAAAAGGCTGAAGTGAACAGAATGAAAATGCAATAACTTTACTAAAACAGCTGTAGTGCAAACAGTTGATAAACAACCAGTTAAACAAATGTTTCATATCTTTTTTCTGAAAATATACCTTCAGTTTAAACTCCAGCTCTGCTACGCATTTGGTTTTCTCACACTCGATGGTAACTTTCCCTCCCAGCTCTAGTGTCATAGTGCCGTACAGAATCCCTACGAGAGAGAGACAATATTGCAGCATCAGATCAACAAGTTCAGCAGAAGGAAATTCATAAATTATTGGTAGAATTTATCACGTAGGCAACTGCAGTGAGTGCATTCCTGGGAGACGAGATGAAGGAAACGATTTTAAAAATCCTGAAGCAGACACAAAATAAAAAACTTAAACCTGCCTTGATTTATATATCTCACCCATCATCCATCTCGAACTCTGACTGTCTGCCATATTAGAGTTTGTGCTCACAGTGAAGCAGAGCTTTGTTTGATTTCCAGTACATCAGACATATTGGCCAGAACAGATGGCTGTAATATTTACAGCCCACACAGATTGTGTCAGTTTGGTCAGATTTCATTGTAAACACGGTAGATGAGCTTGTGTTCTAGCCTCCTGTCATGTGTGTGCTGTTGCAATGATTGGTAAATTATATTGTGAGAATGAGGAGCTCAAACAGAAGTGGCTACAATCAGCGTGGTTCAGCAGAACAAAAATCAGAAGCAACAAAAAGTATCATTTTCAGACAATACAGATCATTTGTTTGTGAATTCCACTTCTAAAACCCAACTTATTAGATGCCCTGCACATTACAGATCCACTAATATCCTCCAGTGCTCACTCATTCACACTATCCCAACTGATCTGTAGACAAAGTTGAGCCTTGAAAAACTGGAGATGATCCAGTATCTGTGCTTACTGCAAAACTATAAAATTACTTAACATCTCATATCTTCTTTGATTTAACTGCTTATAATTATAATCGCACCATAAGTACCGAACATATTCTAACCATGCACTTGGATGACTCAAGGTTTGTGAAGGTGTTCTTAATTTAAATTATCAACAA